AATTCCGCTCCTTTGGCTCTCGACGATTAAAAAAAAAATCATCACAATCGAGATAGGGTGGGTGGGCGGGCCTTATATTTCCCTTTCTTCTTAATATACGTAGTCGTCTTTTCAGAACAAGAAACTTAAAACATCTTTAAAATGGTAAATTCTTGTAGACAAATATGGATCTTGCAATTAAACCCCGCCCCTCGATGTAACAACGAAGGAAAAATTCATCACAATTGTGAATTGAGATCGGGGCGGAAATGGGTGGGGCGTGAACAACACGATACCCAAAAACATGTTTTTAATTTCTCGTAGAGAAATAAGGATTTTGCAGTTAAGCTCCGCCCGCTTGGCTCACGACGAATAAAAAAAACATCAGAATTCAGATAGGGGGTGGGGGGTGGGTGGGGCCACATTTTGCCTTTTTTTCGTAATATGTGTACTTGTTTCGACAACAAGAAACTTAAAACATGTCTAAAATGGTAAATTTTTGTAGTAATCAACTTAAATTGGCCACTTTTCTTCTACAACCCTGTGGTAACCCAAACTTCCCGCCTTAAATTGACCTTGAAAAAGTTTGAAAAGCCCACGAAAAATTCAAAATTTGGCCTTGGCTGTGATCGTCTAACAAAATGGAAACCTACGTTGTGTTTTTTTTTTTTGAAAAGTGGCGGGAAGACGTTCTTTCATACAATTGAGCACACTGCGTGCGAGTAGAGAGCGCAAGAAATAATAGACCAAATTTTTTAGGAGGGGTTAAAATGGCACTCCTCTCAGGAGGGAGGGACTTGCCATCTCATATTCACTCGTCAGCCCCAAAATCCCCTATCGTATATTCACGCACAAGCGGAGTTTGGGGCTACCGGTCGGGGCTGTTCTCCCCCCACGACGATGATTCTATCTATCGCAAGCACAGCACATTACACATCCCCAGGACGAACATGCCGTCCGAAACTAGGCCGTTACGGTCGCCAGACCCGTAGTTGGATCTAGATAGCACGAAGCCGAGAACGTTACAAGATTGGCGGCCGCCCCTGAATCTATCCAAACCTGTACCCTTTGTGCAGGTGACGCGATAAATCTCGCCAGTTCGACTAGGAACCGCACTTCGCTCCTGCCACGTTTTCTGTGTTATTTAACCTCAATTCCATTTTAAATGTTCAATTCTTTATATTTAGAGCAATAAACAATATTTAAATTCGCCATACAATCTTGTGAGCTTTTAAACAACAAATAATTCTCATGTGAGATTAATATTTGGACATCAAATAATTTATACGATGGAAACATTCATCAACAAAATATTTACAAACAAAACTTACCAAAGATGTTTGAAACAAAATATCTGGTGTGAAATAAACTTTTGCAAATGAAAATATTATGTGAGGTTAAAACTGCAAAGCATGGAAATTTACGTTCAATTTAAGATTATACAACAAAAAATTTACTGAGTTGAACACTGTGAGATTGAGAAATATTCTATGAGGTGAAAATTTGCAAAGTTAACAAAATTTACATGAGATTAATACTTGCCACACTTTATCAACGACTCAAACAAAGAATTTACATTATGCCAAATTATGTCATAATCCAAGTGATTTGTTACTCCAAAAATTCAATTTACTTTGAGAGTTTAGCATACCGCGAACTGGTTACCCCAACAAAACACATAATAAATAGACACAAAAATATCGAATCATCGTTGCGAGGAAAAAGCGTCTCGGTGAGATAAATTTTATAGTTGCGAGGAATTGCCTCGATAATGTATATTTTAGCGGTGGGAGGAATAAGTCTCGTTGATGTTATCAATCTCTAGCGTTGCGAGGACATGCCTCGATGAAGTAATCAATCTTTAGCGTTGTGAGGGCATGCCCCGGTGATGTAATTATAATAACGATGATAATAACCATGATAACCGCTTAAGGGAAGAAATTATTTTAACCCCCCGGCAGTTCGCAGTATAATGAACATTGTTAAGTTAACTGCCGGAAATGAACTATTAGCAATCTTGTGTGAAGAATTAAGAAGTGTTATAATGTAACAATTATGTATCTGCATCCAGAAACCTATTCGTAATTAAACAACAAGGTGTTATCCTGACTAAGTGAATTTCATGAAATCTGCTAGCAAGTTGTAAGGATCCAATTCGAATTTTTAAATTTCAAATGAATTCCGCGCGCACAAGAAACGGTCGGTAAGAAGAAGAGGTTGGCAACAAGCGACACCAAGAAAGATGGCATGCGCAAATGTGCGGGTGGTTTTGTCTCGGGTAAAACCGCCCACTTCGCTTGGACCGCTTGGAACAAACGGTCGAGTTCCTTTTGATCGCTTCGAGAGAACAGACGACTTCCTTCGAGCGCTTCGAGCAACAGGTTGTATTTTTATCTGTGAATTATTCTGTGCCTTTTGCTGTTGTTTTTGCGTTTCCAGTGTTGATCCGTTCTATTGGGAAACCTAGCAGCCCCCGTTGAGCCATTGGGTGTTCCTGATTTCTCATCGTTCCTACGACGAGGTTTTTGTGTTCCTTTTGGCGGTAAGCCGTGTCGAAATCTTCGCATCTTTGGAGAGGTATGTTTTGAACACCTGTTTCGCGGCGAGTTTCAAGCCCCGCCGGTGCTTCTGACCTCGTGACACATCGACGCGTGCGCTTTTTTCCACTAATCTCGTTTTTTTATCTTTCATTTAAAATCCATCGCAGTAGGGCTTTACAGGAAGTGATTTTTATTTCGGGCCATGCTTTATTTAGCTATATTTGTGAAACCTGTATTTTGGATGGCGGCAAACGAGTTGTTATTTTCACCGTTCTTTGTTCAGGCAGCGGCCATTTTGAAGCGTCCATTTGTTTCTTTTAATCGAGCACATGTTTTAACTGAATCTATTGAACAAAATAACAACATTGTGGGTCATGGGGGGACGTGCTTTTATTCTTTGGATTTAGCACATCGTTTATACAACGCCACAGGATTCATCGTATTTTTGCATCGCATATTTTCGACGCCTATTATTTGGAATGACGAATTCGTCCAACGCCATTTTGCAACTGCAGCTTGTCTGCCATGTTTGTTTATGTGTTTTGTTTGGAGAAATGTATGTGTAATAATGGCCCACAATGCAGCTAAATAATTTCACGTTTGAATTTTAACCAATAACTTGACTGGACACGAATTAATATTAATCACATGTAAATCTGTTAACTTTACAATCTTTCACCTCATGCAATTTGTCTTTGTCTCACAATTTTAGCTTCAGTAATTTTCTTTGTTGTATAATTTGAATTGAACGTAAATTTCCATGCTCTGCAGTTCTGACCTAACATGATATTTAATTTGTACAAGCTTATTTCACACCAGATCTTGTTTTTATAAATCTTTGCTAAGTTTTGCTCATGTAAATATTTTGTTGATGAATATTTCTATCATGTAGATTATCTGATGTCCAAATTTAATCTCAATTAAGAATTATTTGTTGTTGAATTTCCGTAAGAGTGTGTGGCGAATTTAAATGTTGTTGATTGTTCTTTGTTGAAACTTTAACATTTGTTCGGTTGTAATTTCATATTAGGGTTATAGAGTTTGAACATTTAAATAGAATTGAAGGTAAATAACACAATAACACGTAGTGTCGGCGATGGGCGCAGTTCCTAGTTGCGGTAGCGGAATGTATCGCGCTGTCTGTACAAGATGTGCAGGCTTTGAACAAGATTTCAGTGGGAACGGTCTTGACGACGAGGTAGTAGTTGACCAGACTTCACCGCTAGTTTTAGGCCGAAACGGCCTGCTTGGACGGCATGTTCGTCATGGAGGGGTGCTGTCTGGCAGGCTTGGTGTAGATAGAATCACCGTCGCGGGGGAAACCAGCCCAGACCGGGAGCTCCAAACTTCGCTCACGCTACGACGCCCCCTCTGGGTATTTTCTGTCCTCGTAAATGAAATTGTCTCATAATGATTCGGGTTCTGCCATCCAATTTACATATGTGTAGGGTTTTGTATTTGTTCGGTTTTCGTATGTGTATGTCTGTCAATTCGCGAGTGTTTTTCTTTCAAATATCTTAAGGCGTTTGACATGTAATATGTCGGTGAATAAAACCCCAGGGGGTTTTGGGGAATGAAGACCGATGACACCTTGGCCCTGCGGACTCGCCAGAAGGGCAAAATTTGAGCCTCTGTCGTCGTTCTTCGTTTCTTTTTCCCCCTTAGGAAGGCTTTTGACCAACCTAATTTTGTCTATTATTTCTGACGCTCTCGACCGTGTATGCACTTGTATGAAAGAACTTCTTCCCGCCATTTTTCAAAACCACAAAAAAAAACACACAACGTAGGTTCTCATTTGTTAGACGATCACAGCCAAGGCCAAACTTTTGAATTTTTGAATTTTTCGCGGGCCTTTCAAACTTTTCAAGGTCAAATTTTAAGGCGGGAAGATTGGGTTACCACAAAGTGGTTTATTTAAATAAAAAATTTACAGCACGTGTTCTGCGTTGAACGAAAGTCCGCACTTTTTTCCGATTAAAAGGCCGCAAGAATTAGCTACACGTGTTGAGGAAAACTGTGTCGTCATCGTTAAGATTAATTTTCGTTAAACAAAGGCTTCCCCCCTTTTTATCAACTACCAAACCAATTAATTTAAACTAGTTCTTACCACGTGTTTACATTCACAAAACACATCCAGACCAGACTCAGGGATCCAGACTGACGCTCCGCCATGCCTCCCTCTAACTAAACACTAACTCTTACGTGCATATTTGGTTGCCTATGTTTAACGATTTCTCTTTTTTTTGTGATTGAATTTTTTTTCACTTTCAAATTCAAATTATTCAAATGTGATTTCGCGAAAATTTTGATTCAAATTCGCTCACCACAACCCCTTTAAATACGGCAAAGTTTAAACCTCAAATTTACTATTAATAGCAACTTGGCAACGGATTTTCATCTGCAAAAGCATCATCAACAGCAAGTTTATAATCCCACTTTTGCTTTTTAACTTTTGACCATTCTTAACAATAATGATTCGATCTAATGGGATCCCGTAATTCCATAATTTTAACCCTGACTTTTAGGTTATGTTTTGGCTAAATTCGGCTAAATTAAACGTAGTTGTTACCATAATTTAATACTCGTTGAAGTGATATTGTTATTAAAATGACAGAACAGTCAGCAGAGGAAGAAATGCAGTTTGACTGGATCAAACTGCAAAACGAAGTCCACTTTGTCCAGGAAACCCAAAAGGAAAAGCTCATTCGTAAAGTTTCTGAAAATCCGTTGATACCAATAGGTGAAATAATAAACACTGTATGAATTACGGTCAAGAATCGATTTTAGGATGTTTGGCAACCACTGGCGCCTTGTGCTATGGTTTATGGAGTTTCAGAACGGGTAACAGAAAGATGTCTCAATACATGATGAGGACTAGAATTGCGGCTCAGGGCTTTACTGTGGTTGCCTTAGTTATTGGAATAGGATTAGGAGCCTCGAAGGCGAAATAGATACCAGCATTAAACAAATTGCGTGCAGTAAAGACTGTAAATATTTTAGAATTTCCGTAGATTATAGGGTCTATTAAATCAGTTCTTTGACAATTTTTTCGCCTACATACCCACAATTGCCTCAAAACATCGTAAAAGAGTGCAAAATTTAAATTTGAGTAGTTCATTGCTCGTACTGCAGGTGTCGTATTTTTTGACGGCTAGTCCTCTAAATAATCTGTTTTATTCATATTTTATTACGCGTGATTTAGTTAAAGACAACTTGGGACGTAAATAATGCTACAAACATGTCAAAGCGATTACATAATCCGTTATTTCGTTCGAAATTCCTGCAATGTCGTCGGTCGATACAGCAGGTTTCGCTTTGTCAGTTTTCTGACAAGTGACATTTAGCGAAGATGGCGGTTGCGTCGCCAAATCAAATTTTCCTGATCAAACTGAATCCAAGCTCCAGCGAACATTGTTGCTGCTGGTGTCTCGGGGTTCAGTTGCATGAGGACATAGCAAGTGTATACAAGTAGTGATACCTTGAGTGTGTTCATGTTGCATGAAGCAACCGTGTAGTTATTACCCCACATTATGTGCCCCGCAACCCCCACGGTGTAAGCGGCGCTTGAAAGTCAAGCCGAATCGGCCCGTTGTGTTTTTTTCGTAAATCTGTCATTTCGGCCCCTTCGGAAGACGAGTTCCAATCGAGCAGCCTCAGGTAGTGAAAAGCAGTTGACTTTTGAGTAATTTCTGTTTTGTCAAAAATCGGAATTTTGTGAAGTTTTTGGGAAAATGTTGGGATTTAGCACTTCACGTGACGGCCTCTTGCAGCTGTCGGAAGAACAGCTGGCTTCGGTGGTGCATAAGGAGTCGATTTTGGATGTGTACGAAGTGGACAAGACGCCACTTGGAAGGTAGGAATTTTTATCTTATCGCGTGGCGAATTCAGGGAATTGTCGCAAAATTGGAATTTTTATCGTTTTGACGTGTGACCGTTTTTATCGCTGTCATTGACATTGCAGCTGATAAGGGGATTTATGTCGCAGGTTATAATTGTTTTGGGAGTTTCAAGTCGGTTGGTGGTTGTTGCTTGACAACCGTTTCGATTAAAAGGGAATTGGGTGAGGGGTGATCCCATTACTCCGAATGCGCAATTATCAAAATCGCAACTGGGGGGTATTGTTGTGATTATATCCCGAGTTGGATAATTATTGAAAAAACTTATCTACACGTGGGAGTGCTGCTGCCTGGGTTTTTTTATTTAACACGAAATCATTTCCAATTATCAGTTTATCATTCTATGGCGGTATTGTTACGTGCAGGATGTAGTAAATTGGTCCCCCACTATTTTGGGAACGAATTTGACAAACGGGACATAAAATACGCTTTTTATAACGTAATCACCCAATTGTGAGAATTTTCGAATTTTACTCGGTTAGCCAAGATATAAAAAAGTAGCACCCGGTGGCAGCAATTCCACTTAATTTCATCATTGTCAGAACACCAATAATGACTGTAAATTACTAAGAAATTTCCGGTTAGCGCAAACTGCGTTTTCTTAGACCCATGAAAAATGACACCCAACATTTCTCCACATATTTCTTATCAGGTAGTCGTTAAAACGTGGCAACCCATTGTGCTTTACCCGGAACGGAGCTTTTTCTTTGTCCGGTCCAGTCGCTCTTGTGCCAAGGGCTTTAGCCCACGATTTTCACATCACTTCTCACCAGACAAGTTTGGACAAGATACTCTAATGAATACATTAACCGCTTGCGAAAATATTTGTCAACTTTACCAATTTGGTAGCGATAATTTGCACATTTCTGTGTGTTAAATGGTGAAAATCTCCGAAAAGTCAAACGTCCGTGATCTTTAGCATTCGTGTTTTTTTTTGAGCAGTAGTGACATTTTCGTCCGCCTTCGTCTTAAATCGCTTCGAATAAAAATGTTAATCCGAAACATTATGTAGATTAACCTATTGAGAGAAAATTGTGTTATTATAATAAATTTGACAAATTACAAATGGGCGGCAAATTATTCAAACGTAGAGCCGTAATTACCTCACGCTGTGGAGTCTTGTGAGAAACTTCATTAGAATAAATCTGATTCAACTCGATTTGTTTGAAAGATAAATACCAGTACTATTTAGGGAATTTTCGCCGGAAATGCCTCGTAATTGTGGAGGATAAACAGTTTGGGTTTTGAAGAAGAGAAAGATTTTATGGTGTAATTTTAGTTTTATTATCGAAAGTGGTGGTAAATGAAACAACAGGATGTCGTAGACGGGGGATTCTATAATTGGAAAACTACAATCGGCTGGAATATTTCATTCATCCGCGTTCGAATGAAAACGGCTCTCGAGGCCCTGACTCGACCGCGTAACTTTCCTGGACTGAAGGATAATTTTTCGAAATAATAGAATGTTAAATATTCAAGTTAAAGAATATAGTCAAGGTGCAATTAAACTTGGCTTTTACTGCGTCAGTGTTCAGAATAACGTTCTCTGGAAAGACAATTTTAACGCAAGCCTGTAAAAGTTGGTCTTTTTTGTTACTTAATCCGACTTTGGAAAGTATTTTGGTTCGGTGTGCATGCGGAAGCCCACTTTTTGATGCAATTTTATTGCTGTTTTCATGCTTGGTTGTAACACGTCGCACTCAGCGTGGGAGGCATTAAAAATTCGTAATCTCCTTCACAAATCGGTAATTTTCATAATCCAAATGTAGTTCAGTTGTGTGTAATTATTTAAATTCTCACCGCTTCAGTAGGTTATGTTTACACTCCTCCATTTTTGTTATAGTTATATAAACTCTTCAGATGTGGGTTAGAATCGCCTAATAACTTCGCACCGTAACGTACTTGCTTTCTAAATCATTTAATTGTGAGTAAGCACGCCCATGGATCAATGGAAATCTCTCAAACCACAAAATTTCAGCCCCATGCAGTTGCGCCACGCTGACGAAACCTCCACAATTAAAAAAAAATCCACGATTTCGATATGCATCTTTTGTGCGCCACCGATAACACGCCTTTAATGAACATTAAAGAACTTGATAATGTAGTTTTCCGCGGCGTTATCGCTCGAGGAATGAACATTCCGTGGTCTAAGACGATAAGATACCGCTCAAATCCGACTTTCACTAAATTTCAATCAGTTGCATTTTGCCGTGTCAATGGACCCGCACCGGGTACACCGATTTCGACGAAACCTCGCATTTTTGCCTTCGATTCTCGTTCGAACGTTCGGTTTGCTTTGTTTTTGAGAAATAATCACTTAGCCTACTTTCTCTGCGATCTCGAGTTGCGACTCGACCTTCCATGTCCCCCAAGAGGAGAGACAACAGCCGCATTTTCGATCGAGACTTTTGCAACGGCACGAAACCGTCGTCACGATAGATTTTCGTCGTGTGCGGTTTCTCACATTGTTAGATGACGAAAGTTGATTTTTTCCTGTTTTTGAAACGCGAGAGTTTGACCCGGTTTCCAAGCAAAGCGGAAAAGGGGAGACGGAGGGTCGACAACCCCTCGCAGATGGCTTTGTGCCACCGGAATGGGGTCGGCTTGACGGACGCCACGTTTAATGTTTCCGGGGTCTTCATAAATCACAAGCCAAAACGCGAGTTTCTTGTTCAACCGAAATTTGCCCATTCATCCGGCTCAAAAATTGAGTGACGTCACTGAGAAATTATTCAATAACTCTCACTTTGTGCAGCAGGACGGGTTCATTTGTCTGTCGTTAGGGCCTAATCTAGGTCCGTTACTGTTTTTATTGTTTGTTGATGACATTTCAACGTTTTCTCTTGTGTCGAGAGAGCAGGTTCGGACTCAAATCGTTACTCGAAGAGTACAAGGTTTTTACACATTTTTGGATTATACCATCATAAACTATTGTAAAACCTTTGGGTGTGAAGATTTTTGTTTAAGAATCCCTGTGATTTATTTATTTATTGTCATTTCTGACCACCCCCAACGGTACTTGTGAAAATAGGGCGGAGAACTATGGTGAAACTGCAATAAAATTGTCCCTAAGTTAGGGACTTGAGGAAAGTGGATTATGCAGTTTTTCGGAACTGCTGCAGCTGTGGTTTCCCTTCATTTTTGCCGGTGGTGCGTTTTCAGACCACAATCTCCTTTTATTGCCCCTAGTAATTTTTTGCCGTTTTATTGACCACTTCACTTCCCACGTTCTCTACGGTTCTGTAACATTGTGGATCGAACGGATTTAATATTTTTCCCTTCAAATTTGCAGTTAAAATTTATTCCTTTGGTGTTAATCGTTCGTTTGGCGGAAATCTGGCAGGATAAAGTAACGATCGTGCGAAAGATTGCAGGATGCGTCAGGAGAGGAAGAAGGAAGTTGGCGCCGAAGCTGCGGTTTTTAGGGGAAGGAGTGATGTATGCGTGTTTGCGAGTGCGGTCGTCGAGGAAATGTCTGAAACGTGGCGGTGCTATCTTGCATGCAGAGAAGTATGTAATCGATTATGCTTTTGATTGTGCTGTGTGACCGTCATGCTACAGGGGTGCTGATTTTGACGTGGTGCGTCGGTTTTGCACCTGTTTTACTCGTAAATTGTACGAAACGTTCGTTTAGTTTAACAGTTCTAGTTTAGCAGTCCTTGCACTTTATCAGGTGATAAGGGGCTTTGTTTGTGTAGCATTTACATTTATTGCTTTTTGTAATCGTTGTTTTTGTAATATTTGTTTAAAGTCCCGGTTTTATGTGTGCATTTAAAATTATAAGTTTGCGTTTCTTGGTTAACAAAGCATGTAATTTATTCCCGAATTTTGTGAAATGTCGAGTTATGAATAAACACTGATTACGTAAAAATTGACCTATTTTTTGGTATTATATGATGATGGTAAGTGAAAGATTTATGCATCGATAAAATCATTGTGCACTAAGATAGTGATAACGAAAAAACGACCTTGTTGGTCACAGTTAAAGCTTCGTTTTCCTTGATCGATCTTGGTGATAAAAATAATCCAGGTTTTCATTTGTTATTAATTTTTAAAATATATAAAAATAGGTTCTCAGGGGAAATCCACGCTGTGCTAGGTGTTATCAGAGTTTGTGCGGGTTTGTGTTAAAAAACAAAGACCTAAGTGACAAGTTGACCTTGCTGGTGTAAAAGCGTGCCGTGGAATTCCGCCTTTATCGTTGATCATAGAATAGTTGCATTGAATTGTAACATCATAATAGTAAAGATTTTGAGAATGAACGGTGGAATTTGCGTGTTCTCAAAGTCTATTAAGTTATTTTAATTCATGGAAAATGAAGCTTTTAATTTGTTCATTTAAAATGTAACATAAAATAAAAAATTAACCAGTTTTCTATATGGTGGCTATAAATTACCATTTTGCCATTTGTTCTTGAGAACTCGAACCAACGCTGTTTCTCTTATCTGGTTTACCGTAAGAACATCGAGCAGTGGAATATTAGGCTTTCGCACTTGACAGGCACAAGATAAAGTTTACTTCCACCCTTGACCGTACGTCTCTCTCGTTACCCAAACCAACCTTGAGATATCTCTCATATCAAAAATTTGTCCTAATCAAGAGCAATTATTCAGCGAAATAATGCTGCAGCTGTTTATCATCGTTCCCTTTGACCGTCCGTTCCGCTTTCGACAATTAAAATCTCAATGGACATGAAAGGTCACACTTTACTTTATGTATCCATTAGACACAATTACAAACACTCGCTTGTAATTTTTATTAGATTTCTGAGCCACTCGCGATCAATGATGTGCGGACTCCTGATTTACGTTTTACGCATTGGTCGCCAAACTGTACCATGGACACGTAGACGAAGCTGCAAGAACTGGCCCCATAAACCCAGTATTGAATGAAACCCGCGACCCACTCACCTGAGAGTACAAGAGAGTGTCGACGGTCTCCTTCGGCGAAAAAATGT